AAAATACTATTAAGTATTATATAAAATATCGACTCCATTATAGCTTTTTCATCAAATGAAAAAATAAATAATACAAAAAGAAGACAACTGAGTCATATTGCGCCGACTCTTTGTTCACATTTCATCGATAAATCATATAATTCGTCAATTTGTTAAAGATATTCTTGACATAAAATTCCAGGTAAAGCATAAATCTTGTAGATTTGAGCATCTCTGTTCGTCGTGCGCGAAGTTACGTAACTCGAGCTTTGATATGCGCGAGCTTCATGCCATTCTTCGCTTCCCCTTCTTCGCGCGCGTAAAAAGTCCAGCGGGCGCGATCATCGAGTCATCGAGCGTCATCGAGATCGTCCTCGTGGGAATGGCGGCGTGGACAGCGGTGCGGGGAATCTCGCCTCGAGTCACAGGTATGTATTACGGAATTAGAAATCCATTCGCGTTCCGTCCCACGCGGTTTCGTTAGTTTCATATCGCGCGCTCGTGTACAAAACGTAACGAAACTTGAGTCGCGTTGTATGTACCGGCGTATTACCGGCCGAGGCTGTGCAACTTTTTTGCTCTCTCTCTCTCTCTCTCTCTCTCTCTCTCTCTCTCTCTGTACTGCTCTTTAGCGTTAGAGAGAGGGAAAGAGGAAGAGAGAACGTGCGAGTGCACCCCGCTGTGCCGTGAAGAACGTGCTGCTCAACGTGAGCAAGAATCTCTCTCGAGTCTCGGCCGCGTTAATTTTAAGACATAACTAGGAAAGGGGCGCATTTACGCTCCTCCTTGTGTATATGGCTTCAGTTGAAGAGCTAGATCATCAGGTCGACAGCGGCATGGGCAGCAGCGACGCGCGCTCTCCTGAGGTGAAGTCGCTTCTCCCTGACGACGAGGATGATGACGAGGAGGTATAGATGAGAATGCTTTTATACACAGGAAAAGAAAGATGATCGCTTGGAGGACAGAATCGTGGCTTGTGCTATGACGTTTGTAAAATCCAGAATATTTTGAAGGATCAGTAAGAATCTTCAGGATCCTCTGTGTGATCTTGCTGATCCTTTGGTACCCTCTGATACCAAAGATCACTGAGAAGTATTATTTAATGATAAAAGAAAAGCCGGCTTTCTGTCCCTTTGTCTGGTACCAATATTTATAACTATATTATCTATGCACATGTACACTTTTTACTTGACTATCTAAGATTTAAAGTTATATGTATGAATGTGATGCTTTTGTCACTTTTCTTATCTAAAATTAAAATTAAAGAAATATTTATAGTATCTTATGAGTATGATATTTTTTTGTCGATTCCTTTTTAATTAATAGTAACAAAGTAGTTGCTATTTTTCCATTATTTGTTTTATTATTTAGGAGTTAATTAATGAAATTATTCCTTTGATTCTTAGGATGAGAGCTTAACGGAGAGATTATTAGGACTTACTGAAATGTTTCCTGAGCCAGTACGTAACTTTGGATACAATGTTGGAACCTGCCTATACACATGTATTAAAGGTAACATTATTTTCTTAAGCCTAATTTTACAATGTGCTTTTTACTTTCTGTTTCTTATCTTCTGCTTTTTATCTCTTTGCTTCTTATTTTTTATTTCTTGTTGCTCGAGATAAAAGTTGATCAATTTCGGAAGAAACAAGAAATGATTGTCAATAAAACGAATATTGAATATAAAACGGTCGCAAAGATGAAAAAAGGCAAGAAGTAAAAAGTAAGAAATAGGAAACAAAATTGTAGATTAGGATTTAAGTTTTAAGATGCAAATGTATTTTTCAAGATACATAATAAAATTAGTAACTGATAAAACAAGGATGATTATATAACTATATCTTTGCAGGTTTATATGCGTATTCGTGTTCAGCCACATGGCTAGTCTTCAGTTCGTCCACAATTCTTTTCGCGCCAATTATCTTCGAGATGGAACGCGCACAGATGGAAGACCTGCAACGTACGCAGCAGAAGCAAGTTCTCTTAGGCCCTAACACAGCTCTGTCCGGTGTTAACACCACGGGTCTTCCAATGGCACCGCCTGTTCAGCGATAGGCCATTATATTACAAATTTACACGTGCACGCATACAAGGACACGTACAGAAATGCCTATCCTACCAAAAAAAACAATAAATCACTCGAGTTTCCCCACTCAATTATTTATTAGCGCAGCTCCATACATCACCGAGACTTTTACGTAAATCGTGAACAAATGATTTGTATTGAATGAGAACTTGCGAGAATCGAGCGCGTGTAATTATCTCTTTGGAGTAACTCTTGCAGAGTTGCGCGAATATGAAAAATTTAGAGTAAATATAAATTTGGTTTGCTCAATCGAAGAACATTGAATTGCAACATTTGTTGGTCTAGTCCATTCTCTACACTTACACACATACTTACACACACGTCGTTGTTCCTTTTAATAATTTTTACTAAAAACCAACATATATTACGATATTGCGTGACATTTTATTATTAAATACGTTGCGGTGACGGCGGTGATAGCGCTTCATTTAACAAAAAGGAAACGACTCCGTTATTCTGTTCGTTTCGTAAATAAATGATTGAGAAAAAAATTGACCATGCAATTATTTGTTAATAGTTACTATATACGTTGCCGAAAACGCGGTAATCGTATCGCAAGTGTTATTATCGTTAATATATCTTGTCTGTTATATTGTAATTTCGAAAGAACAAATAAAAGACATAGTGAAGTAGTGTCTAATCGCATCGTGTCATGTCGATCTTTTGTCGTATAATATTTCTGTAAAGTTAACAAATAAAAGAGCCTTATATACCATCTATTATTCTTTCATAATTGTTTGATTACACAATTTACATTTGGAAAAAAATACGATTTTCAATAAAAATAAATATTAAGATAATATTAAATAATAAATATTGCAATTTTACTGATTGTGTGTGTGTGTGTGCGTGCGTGCGTGCGTGTGTGTGTGTGTGTGTGTACATAAAGAATTTTTAATAAAATTAGATCTGAAAGTGTTATACAGTCAATCTTCGTAAAAGTAATTTGTCGGGACCAATCGACCTCTGTAAAGCTAGTTACACACTTTCCGTAACAGTGTAAGGTTTTCGACGAATCGGATTGCTCGACTGTTATTTTAATTTTCGATTTTTCGGAAATAAATGACTTATATCATCAACTGTGTTAAACATTTATTATATTTACATTTTCGTGCAATCAGATCTTATTGGATAGAATTGATTGCTTTCATATGCCATGCGTATGCGCTAGTATATGTGATAGAAGCCTCGCAGAAGGGAAAATTACTATATGAGAGGTTGAGACACGACTTTTACGGAGATTGACTTTACGAAAGTTCGATGTATTTTAGGATTATATCAATGTTGATCAATTAGTATAATTATATAATCTGAAAATAATAATTTTGAAGATTTTTAATAATTGTTGGAGATTATTATTGTTATTTAGAAGCATTTTGTGATTGATATATGTACAACCGCACATGAGATTGCGATTGAAATGAAACGTGCGCATTATCTTGTTCGTAAGCGGATCTTTGGGCGTATTCAGCGTACTGAATAGTTAAATGAACACTCGATGCTATTGATGTATTCTTCTAGATCTAAAACATCTGACTGAATAATCTAGAAGAATACACCAATAACAGCAAACACTGGCACAGCTGTTGTACTGAGTGTACTGAACCTTTCTTTAATTCAGAGCCATGATTGGTTCTAAA